AATAGATGGACAGCAGCACTCAGGAGGCACCAAGCAGGTTTGACCATTGGACAGAGGAGATATTTAAAATAACCACCAAATATGTTTATAATTGCAAATACAGAGCTTGGACAGCTGAAATATTATGCCTACCACTTCTTGGAGGCATCAGCTTTGTTTACTGTTTCATCACAGAAATATTTGTGTTTTGATTTCAGTATACCTTCCTTTTCACTGTTTCTTTTAACAAATAGATGAGTAGATAGTCCCAGGACTACAAATAGTTCCTTGTCTTCATGTGTTTTAATTGCTGAACTTTAAATTTCCAACTAGTATAAATATGTATGAACACTATCAACATATCGTAATTAAGCCTTATGTACTTCATCTTTCTTTAGAAAAACATTCAAACACTGTCTTTTTTTTTCTTGTCTTTTTTTTCTATTGCAGGTTGGAGACTCATAAAGGCACAATTTAATAAAGACTGACCTGAATGGAGAAAATAAATCTTTTATTTGAGCGACACTGAGCTTATCTCACCTTCCACAGTTTGGACATCAGTGTTGTGAAATGCCACTGACTATAAAATGGCCAATGGTTTTCCTTGAGCAGTGCTTACCTCTTTACATGGTTGTTTTTTCTGTACACATTCCCAATAAATTTTTGATTATTACAGAATAGCTGAGCTTGCTATTTGTGTTCTACCGTCGGCCAAACACAACACAGAAAACACTGTGACTGCCGGAAGGGTACTCTGATCAAGTCTGGTTCAGTTCCTTCTCTGTATTTAGAAGTATGTGTTGGAGTTATCTCTCCATAAAACATGGCTAGGTTTCAACAGTCTTCACTTTGTTTTCTGATGAAATTGTCAATTTGTGACACAGATCAAAGTACACTTGAAAGGGACCTAGTTTACTGCTGGAGCCGCTTGAGCAAACACAGCGCAGGTTAGGAAGTGTACTATCAGTGACAAAGGTATTTTACTCCAGAGCAGGCATATTAGCAGGTTTCTCAAATACTGTTCAAAATAAATGTTTGGTTTTCTATATAGCACATAGTACTACACTGTACAAGGATTATAACTGAATATTACATTCGTAAACTTACTAAATTATTGTAATGTTTTTAGCATCATTTTCAGACCAAAATAATACAGTTTTTAGTATTAATTAATTATGTTTTAGTTCCATTTGCTTTTGCTATGTGTAGTAATAATTTTCCAGTGACCCACACTGTCAGCACAGATCAATAAAAGCAGGGTTTGAGATGCTGTCTGAATGTAATCACTCAGAATATTTGATGAGTATTTCTGGGTGAGGGGTTTAGAAAATCAAATTACTTTTGTGGATACATTTGTCAACAAAATATACAGAGAGAGCTAGAATAGAAATATATTTATATATGTCAAGCTGATACATAAAGAAATGCATCCTAGTCTTTATTTTTAGCTACCATTGAATAGCCAGGAGTTCACCTGGCATTTCTGAATAGCACATTTAAATGGCTTTTTTAGAGACAGGGAAACAGTACACAAGTAAGATGGACCTCAAAGGCCATTTATGCCACCTTGAGACTTTTCCTGTTGAGGTGAGCAGGTCTTCATCTAGTTTGCAGCCGAGCTGCTTTGCTTGAGTTGAATGTCCACAGCACGACAAGCTGCTATCCACTTATTGCTTATACTGCAGTTGTTGTGAGTGGCCAAGCCACTTTCACTTTCTGTTTTCAGTTTAACTCCATCTATGATATGACTTTAAAAGTTGTTTTATTTATACATGTACAACATGGAATTAAGAAGTATTCCTTTCCACTCTGTTACTTTGACCTCTGAATCCACATTTCCCTAGGTCTGAGCTGCTCTCCCACTCTTTTTGTTGCAATGCCTTATTTTATGAGGAAATGCTGTGAAAACAAATATTCCACTGGTGTGACCTGGCATTTTATGGATTGCTAATCAGAACTAAGACAAACTCATTCTTTCATTTGGTTTGCTGGTTGGTGTTCTGAGGTCTCACAAATAATTTTGAGCCTCTTTGGAGAGGACTGAAGATATGGAGGGCTAGAGCTGTTGAATCCAAGATCGTTCACAGAAGTCCTGTGCCAGGACTCATGACAGGGTCTGCCAGACACTGCAGATATGTTCTATGGGCCTTGAAAGAACACTGTCAACAATCATGTCTTTTGGAGATCTTTTCTACTGCTTCCAACCATGGAACTATCAGAAAGGGACCTGAACAGATCTTCTGTTTCTTCTGTCTCGTAGAGACAGAATTAGTACTCTCACATTTTGTGGGGTTGTTTATTTTTGTTTGTTTCTTTGTTTTGCAAGTAAATACGTTGTGTTTTGACTTAATGCCTCCATTTTGTATTCTGAAAGGTCTTATTTATCTTCCCTGAATCAGTCTAAAATTGTACAAGGCCTACAGGGCATAACCTACATAATATAGCACAGCACATTATATTTAGGCAAATCTATCCCCCTCTGAGTTCTTGAGATTTTATCACAGGCTATCCACTGTGCTATCCACTGCCTTCCTTTCATACCCTTCCTTTCATACCCTATGCTTGCTGTCACCCTTCCTACTTGTCAAAGACCATTACCATTGTAGCACAAAGCATAGGAATTGGGAGCAGAAATATTTTCCTTTTGGCCCTGTTGGAGCAAAGATTGGACCAGATAGATCCAAAGGTCCCTTCCTACCTCATCCATTCTGGGGTTCTGTCATTCTGGCTCACATCCTGGGCACACAAATCAACCCTAAATCCCGGACTCCCCAGCTATCGCTGTGGCAGCCTGCCAAGAGTAGGGCAGCCAAGCAGTAAACTGCACTTCTTTGATCATGAATTAAAGGTAAATCCAAAGTTTATCTAGCTCTTAGCCTGTAACCTTTACAAACAAACACACAGAGAAGTGACTAGATGATTGCAACAAGAAAGCAAAGGTACAGGCTGAAGGTCAGGCACAGGTTCAGCCATCAACTGGAAAGTCTGAGAAGCTCCTCCTCTACCTCAGCTTCACACAGCAATCCCCTTCACACGAAGCAGGAAAGCCCTCTTGGTTAACCTAGTCCTTGTAGTCAGTTATCAGCTTTTTCCAGACCCCTAGACCTGGTGACTGAGTTTTACTTGGACCACAGCTTAAGTTTTTTGATTATTGAAGGTCATTGAGGGCCCTCTCAGCCCTCAGGCATCTTAGAGTTGGCTGTTCCAGAGCCCCGGTGTTAAGCAGAGAGCTACAGCTGATGTCAGTGGTATCTGCACATACAGAGTACTCTAAAGACTCAGAGTATCAAAATGGATCAGGGATAGTATGTGCAATTCTTGTGCTCTGGAGCAACTGATCTTCAAGCAGAGACTTTGATGTCAGCTACATAAGCCAAATTAGAGCTCATTGGTGCAAATGGGAGGCTGTCTGTGGACACCAGCAGATATTGCATATAGCTCATTTAACTCTGTTCTTTTAAAAAACTCATCACAGTCCTGCAAGTCTTCCTCTCATTGTGATCTTTTTGTCCTTTAAGCATTTTCTTATTTGAGCTTTTTATGATTCTTAAAGATCGTTACAATTCTTCCACAGCACCATTACAATTAAACTTCTTTCCAAGTGTGCGCAGGTAAGATTAAACCTTAAATATAGTAGAAACAGATTTATACAAAAACAGATTTTGATGGTGTAGGTGTAAATCAGCGACATAAATCAATGTAGCACCATCCTATCCATGTGCTCTGTTTCTTGTAACCTGAGAATATGACTCATTCTTAGTGATATTTGTATGTAGAGTTCTGTTCTAATTTAAGAGGGTTTACGGAGACAAGAGAAGCATGCAATGCAAAGCCAGACATGGTAGAAACAAAAGAGTCCAGTTCAACTTCAGCAAACCTTACGTGGAGAGTGATGAAGCCTTCTAAAGGCAGAAAACAAGGAAAAGCAGAGAAACAGAGAGTAAGAAAAAAAAAACATGATGCTGCTGCAATGGGTCCGAAGCTGCAAACAGCTATTTTGAATTTAAAATGTGGTATAAAACCAGAGTCAATCTTAAATATGGCTCTATAGAACAGAGTACAATGAGCAATGGATGATGGGCAGTTTTGTGAGTACTGTCATTTAAAAAAAAACCATGAGAACGTTTTGTTCCCTTAACTGATTTGCTTGAGCTCAAGTTTTCCTCCTAATTTCTGCTCCCTGTGGTAGCAACTTTTAATATGGGCAGCATCTTTAAGCACTTGACATTCATGTACAATATTCCCCACTAACTCAATAGCTTGTTATAGATCTCGCAGTAGCAACGCATTTTAATCAATTCCTATACACAAACTAGCAATTTTAAAAGTACCTATTTTCTGCCCCTTAAAAAAGATCTAGTAATTCTCAACTTTTTTTTTTTTTCAGGGACATTTTCAAATACCACTCTGTTGTGCTTTTCATAAATATGTGTGCAACTCACACCGTTCATTTCAATTAACAGTAAGTCTGTGTAAGAAAGAAGGTGACGCTAAACAAGGTGTGTGTTATACAAACACCAGCAGTGTCCAGCTGCAGAAACATATGCAAACTGAGCTCTGCAGTCCTCAGGGATCCATTTTTGTTGACAAACCATAGTAAACTTTCTTACACTGGTATTTGCCTCAGAAGGCCCAATAGTTTTCATGGGCATGGAGTTGCAAAGAAAGGGCAAAGCAATGACTTTCAAATATCAGCTTGCTTGATTGTATTAGCTAAATTCCGGCCATACAGCATGTGTTTTCCATCAGTTAAGTATTGCTGGCTTCTGCTAGGACCTGCATACACCCTAGATGAACAACAATTTACAAGAAATGAAGCTTGAAGCAGATATATTATTATTCTTCTTTCCTGGAATACACGGTGTTGCCCTCATGGTGGTGCTGTACAAATTTATCTGGAGTAAATAACACCAGAAACTTGTGCAAGAGGCCTTAGGTAATCAACTCTGGCATGTTTTGTCTCCAAACAGAAGGGAGAATAATGATTAATCTCAGCTCTTCAGCAAGGTTTAAATTGCATCAAAAGACCAGAGGAGAGCATCCTCTCATCCACAGTTCTGCTCGCTCCTCTCTGAAGATGATACCACTGAGGATACTCTGTGTGTTGCTCTGCCTCAACTTAGCTTGGGTATGAGTTTGCTTACTTCATTCTTTCCATACCTCGTTGATTTGAAGAGTAAATGTTTATTTAATCTGCATTAATCAGATGCATGTTTGCTGTCACCTATCTTGTCAAATTCAATGCATGCACATACGCACAAGCTTCCTATGACTACTTCAATGCTGGACTTTCATAGCAGCAGTTCTTGAATATCCAGTTCTGTTTTGCTTAATTCAGTCTTGTTGAACCTGCCTGCCTTCAGAAAAGCAAAGCAAATAAATTAACATGAATTCATAGATTCACAGCTGCTGCTGTGAGCCTTAAAGCTGGCTGAATTGGATGCTAGAGGCTCCAGCCAGTCACAAATTTTCAATTTCACAAATTTTAGGATGAATTATAATTTCTTTTCTACTGTCTCATTTTACTTCAACTGCATGTTTCAGCTACAAACGATGCACCATGACTTTATTCTAAAATGCAGATTTAAAAATAGTGATTCTTTGGCCGCAATAACAGATTAAACTAGAATCTAAACCAGATTACAATAGATTATAATCTACTATAATATAATATATAATGTAATATTTATTACCTGAAATAAGCAAGAAGCAATTTTTAGATAAGGAAAGTGATAATCTTGATTTTCAACTACGCTAACATAACCTTGCCATTTTTTCAATTATGTTTCAGCTAATAATCGTATTTTAGTCTTTATCTTTGTGACTGAGTTTTGAAGGAAGAGAATGCTCTCACAAATTGCAGAAATTACTGGGAGCAGATCTGGCTAAATAGAAGCAGTCCTGTTGGAGCTGCCAGTGCTGAAAGGGCACAGACCACCTAAAATTAAAGGTTGTATTTGTTACTTTTAGTGGTCCCTTGGGCCAAGATGAATCAAACCAAAGTGAAACTGCTGAGTTTAGTAATGACAATCCAGTTCCACAGGGCTGAGGTTCTGGCTCTGGAGGCTGTAATTAGAAAACTTTCTCTGTGTGAAAATTAATCATCTTTTTCAGCATGAATTATACTGCTTGATAAGAACATAATGCATATACAGAGAAACCTAGGCAGACCTAATTAGGTCTAAAGCAATTTCTTTCACTTTTTATGAAAAAGAATCATTTTCCAGTTCTTTACTGAGCAATAATGCAGTAAGAATCCCCACAGCATTTTGGCTTAGAATTAGTTGGTATAATTGCACTTTAGTTTCTCAGATTTCAAGAAAATCTCAGTACATTTGTTTCTGTTCCTTCCATTAGCAAAGTGCAATCCACCCATCACTGACATTATTATTTTCATTTCAATGTTATTAGTTTTCTTGTTCTTTATGCCAAGCAAAACAGTGCTACAAGCTTATGGGACTAAAACCAGAAACACTAATGAATGGGAAAACTCAATTCATGCATATCTTCAAGCCAGTTTTGAGTAGGCAGGAGTAGAATGAAAACAAAAAATTTAGGAATACGAAAGCAAGTGAAAATAGAACACAGATGTTTCAAAGCTAGCTTAAGTAATTTCAATCTAATTTTGCATTTTCATGCAGAGCTCAAGATTGTCTTGCAAAGATATTACCATCATATACTCTAAGCAACTTCCATTCTCCACACAAGCATAAATTTTAAGAGTGGAAAAGCTTTATTCTGACAAAATAAACAAAAGCAAGTCTTACAAGAAATGCCTTTATGCTGTTGGATGATGCATTCCACAAGGCTGCACTTTCCACAGCAGCAGCGCCCCACCAAGTGCTTGAGGATACCAGCTTTTCACTTCCATTTTCTTGACCGCTGCGCTGACAGCCTCAGTTCTGTGCTTCTTCTTGCTCCTCCCGGCAGGCTCAGGATGGGGAGACTGTCTTTGAAAAGGAGGGTGCAGTCGGACGTGGCCCCAGGATCGTGGAGCAGAGGCACCAGTCCTCCTGCAAGTATGAGAAGAACTGGCCTATCTGTGCAGACGATGACTGGGTGAGCAACAAGCCTTGGGGATGGCAGGGCACTCATGGACCCTGCCAGAGCGCTCCTGGGGCTTTTGTGCTTTTGGGCCGTAGTCTGGGGGATGATGGGTGGCCCTTTACACTGGGGTGGTATGAGGAAGTGCCCTGAGGAAAGGCAAGAAGCAAAGCGGAGCTGCAGTGAAACCAAGGGGGAAAGAAAGAAAAGATAGAATAGTTTGGAGGGAGGGAGGAGGCTGGGAAAAATCAGTCTGAAAGAGAAAGGCAAAGTAGAAAAACCAGTAAAAAGAAAAATAAAAGTTCTTTTCATGATTTTGATGTTGCTGCTCTTGGAGTTAGTAAGAGGAATGCGCTTGAAAGAAAGACTTGTGACAAAGGGGAATATGTAGAAAGAACTGAAAATTTTTAGGAGGTCTGATGACAAGGTGCTCAGTAAAAGCTTCCCAGTGACTGACTGAATGTCTGTGTATGAACTGTCGGTTTGTCTCTCCCTTGCCTCTTGCATCTCAACTCATCTCTATGCTACATTTATAAGATGTAATCTTGCCAAAGAGCTGTAATGTATAAGAACATGAGGCTCTTCTGAGGAAAATTCTGCTTAAATTAATGGGCCTAGGGCATCCTTGCTCAAACAGGACAGCTAACTTCTCTTTACAGCAGTCCTTTGGAAAACAAATGCGGTGAGATTATTATTTTGGTTTTCTTATTACTGTTATTAATATTGTTACTGTTATTATTGTGGTTTTGTTTAATTTTGTTTCTACTCTTAAGGAACAGAGGAAAGTGAAAATTAAAGGTTCCTCACTCCCACATAAGACAGGATTCTATGCACACCTTTCAGCAATTCCAATGCACCAGCATCAGAGGCGCAAGATGTGAAGGGTCAGCTGTGAGGTGTCTTGCTCCAAGTCATACAAGCTCTTTTCAAAGTCACTGGATGAACAGGACAGCAGAAGTCACATAATACTGCCCTAAGTTTTATTAGAGGGTTATTGCTAGTTTAAACACACTGATTTCAAAAACAAAAAGGCATGCTCATGAAGATGTTAACACAGTTATTTCTCTTCCACTTTTAGGGTACAAAATGTCCATCAGGCTGCAGAATGCAAGGACTAATTGATGACACGATCCAGGATAACACTCACAGAATAGACAAAATTAGGCAGCAACTTGCAGCCAGTCAAAATAACTATAAAACATCCAATCGGGTAATTGTGGAAACCATAAATATACTGAAGCCTGGTCTGGAGGGTGCCCAGCGTAAGTATTCCCCTAGTTTTGTCATGCGTTGCTAATTTTTGAGCGCGTGCATGTTAGCAATATTTTGTGGAAACACATGCTGCACTGGACCTGATTAATAAAAGCCAGAACAAACATGGTGATACACGACTCCTAACTACTAACTTGTAAAAGGTAATGTAATTTTTACCAGCTTTGTGTTACGAGAAATTTGTTCTTAAATATCTGCTTATATTGCCTATTTTAAAATACGATGCACTTCTAGGAAAGAAATCACACCTGCATACCTGACCATGATGAATTTCTCTTTCAGAGCTTGATGAGAATTATGGTCATGTGTCAGCAGAACTGAGGAGGAGGATTGTGACATTAAAGCAGCGAGTTGCCACTCAAGTGAACAGAATTAAAGCTCTGCAGAACAGCATTCAGGAGCAGGTGGTGGAAATGAAACGTTTGGAGGTAGGCAGCCACTGCATCATTCCCACTGTTTGCAGAGCCTAGCTGCAGAAGGATCTGTTACACAGTGCCCAGCGAGCAGTGCTACATGCAGAAAGAAAATACAATGCAGTCCTCTCAGGATCTGCTCTGGTGAGGCAAATTCCCCAGTGAGCTGCTTTCTGTGGGACTTTTTTGTATCTTTCCTGCTATGTGGGAAGAGGCATGAAGTCAGGAGGGCCCTTTGTCCCATCTGCTCTTGGACAGGCAGCTGGGATTCCTGATGCTGTATCTACTGGCAATCAGCTCCATGCAGGGCATTTCTCCACTTGTAAGGATCTGCTGGGCAACAAAGATGAGGAGAGAGGCCCTGTCCTTCTGTGATGCTGCCCAGCAGCCACCAGCCCCAGGAGCGCACACTTCGCCCCAAGAACAGCAGGAACAGAAACTAAACATGCCACAGCACATCTATATCTCTCCATGGAGCTTATGTGCACTGTGTATTGTGTGTGCCAGGATAGACTTCAAAATGGAGCTTTGGAAAAGCTCACCTGTAGATGGGAGGTACCAGGGCAGCTTCCCATTTTTCCCAGCCCAGATAAAAGATACACTAGCTTGAGAAAGTCCAGAAAAGATCCCTAATGCAGTTATTTCTCTGTTTATGTAGGTGGACATTGATATTAAGATACGAGCTTGCAAAGGAAGCTGTGCAAGAAGTTTTGATTACCAGGTGGACAAAGAAGGCTATGACAACATCCAGAAGCAGCTTACCCAGGCCAGCTCCATTGACATGCACCCAGACTTTCAAGCAACCACCTTGAGCACACTGAAAATGAGGCCTCTTAAGGACTCGAATGTTCCTGAACATTTTAAGCTCAAGCCTCCACCAGAAATGCAAGCTCTGAACGCATTTAATAACATCAAGCAGATGCAAGTGGTATTAGAAAGACCAGAAACAGACTCAAGGCCCTCCCGAGGCGAGACCTTTTACCACGTGGAAGAAGCAAGGGGGGATTCTTCACCTTCCCACACCAGCAAATTAGTTACTTCTGCTCATGGGAGAGAAAACCCTAGCCTGGTAGATAAAACCACCTCCTCTGTCCATAGATGCACCAGAACTGTCACTAAGAAAGTCATTAGTGGCCCTGACGGTCCTAGAGAAGAAATAGTTGAAAAAATGGTTTCCTCTGATGGCTCAGACTGCTCCCACTTACAAGGAGGACGGGAAGGAAGCACATACCATTTTAGTGGGACAGGTGACTTTCACAAGCTAGACAGGCTTCTGCCAGATCTAGAGTCATTCTTCACCCACGACTCTGCATCCACTGGTAGCAGGCACTCTATTGGCTCGAGCACCACCACAACCAGCAGCCGTGTGACTGGGGCAGGCAGCAGCCGCCTGAGCACTGGAGGGAAAGACAAATTCACAGACTTGGGAGAGGAGGAAGAAGATGATTTTGGAGGACTTCACCCATCTGGATTTGCTGCCAGCAGTGCAAGTCACTCCAAGACTGTAGTGAGCAGTTCCTCTTCTAGTTTCAACAAGGGAGGCTCCACTTTTGAAACCAAGTCCCTAAAGACCCGTGAAATATCTGAGAGGCTAGGTGGGGTGCAACATGATCAGAGTGCAGAGGATACCCCAGACTTTCAGGCGCGCAGCTTCAGACAAGCAGCAATGAGTACAAGGAGAGACTACAGTGGGAAAGGTACACAGAAGTAGTAATTGAGGTAGTGGAGCCAAATTCAATTAATAACCAAACTGACAGAATGTTTTCAGATACTGCAATATAACAATGCGATGATAAAATGCCAGAACTGTGTCTGATTGTTGCCACTTTGGAGATAAAAGGGAAAATATATCACTAATACTCGGGTATTGCATAGACAATTAGCAATTTAAGATCTGTGTAAGGTTTCCTCTCTCGATTCTTTGTAATGTTTTGCCTGTCACTAAACCTTATGTAGTCCAAGACACATTTAACAAATTTTCCTCAGATCTATTGCTGCTTGGATTCCTCTGAACTTTTTATTAAACTTTACTGATAACTCCTGTCAAACCAGATCAACTTTTTTTTTTAGACTGCGATGATATCCGCCAGAAACACACTTTTGGTGCCAAAAGTGGCATTTTCAAAATCAAGCCAGAGGGATCCAGTAAGGTTTTGTCAGTTTATTGCGACCAAGAGACCACTTTGGGAGGATGGCTATTGATCCAACAGAGAATGGATGGATCAGTGAATTTTAACCGTACGTGGCAAGACTACAAGAGAGGTTTCGGCAGCGTGGATGGCAAAGGGCGAGGAGAGTTGTGGCTGGGCAATGAGAACATCCACTTGCTGACTCAGAACGAGACTCTGCTTCGAGTAGAGTTAGAGGACTGGGATGGAAATGCTGCATACGCAGAGTACATCGTGCAGGTAGGGACTGAAGCAGAAGGCTATGCCCTGGCTGTGTCCTCCTACGAGGGGACTGCGGGGGATGCACTGGTTGCGGGCTGGCTGGAGGAAGGCTCTGAGTACACGTCCCACGCTCAGATGCAGTTCAGCACCTTTGACCGGGACCAAGACCGCTGGGAGGAGAGCTGTGCTGAGGTGTACGGCGGCGGCTGGTGGTACAACAGCTGCCAGGCAGCCAACCTCAATGGCATTTACTACCCAGGGGGCCACTACGACCCCAGGTACAATGTTCCATATGAGATCGAGAACGGAGTAGTCTGGATACCATTTAGAGCCTCCGATTATTCCCTCAAAGTTGTTAGAATGAAAATCAGACCCCTGGAAACCCTGTAGAAGGACAGGCATTTAATATTTGTCTCACAGCTAAAAGTCGGAAATGTCTTCTATATATCTATGTGTGTGATGTACCTTTACCCTATGAATTTGAAGGCAACATGGCACATCTGTGGCATACAAAATAAACTGATTGATTATTAACAAAACAGTTCTTTCATCTTGTTTATAACTGACAAAACTTTCCAAGGAAATGTTGATTTTAAAAACCTTATATAAATCTCTGCAACCTTTTGTCCCATTAGTGCTTCTTACTACCAAGCTTAGTTTGACAACTTTAAATGTCAAAATCTGGCAGAATGATATCCCTGATATCCTCATGCACGGCTAAGCAATTGTTCTGAAATGGGAACTGAAAAATGACATTGTGTGCTGTGATATTCTAAACTACAATCTGAGTTTATCTTGATGGTGATGGGGAAGAGAAGTTTTGATTATTCTCCTTTTGGCAAGGGTAGTGACATCAATCTACTGAAGAAATAATTCAAAGTGACAGTGCTCTTCGGAGCAAGTCAACAACTTGAACTCCAACTTAATAACATTTTCCAGACTTAACTACTTACTTCAGCTGAGGAGAAAAATTGTGAGTGGCACTCGTATCAAATTTTCTATCTCAAATTTTCACACAATCATGTAATATTCAAACGCAATCTTACATCTTCATCTTTAGAACTGAAAATCCATTTATTTTCTCTCAGGCTTATTCATTGTCAGGGGCATAAAAGGCTTCATGGCTGGAAGATTTTGTTACTGCTGTTTGTACTGGATAGAGAAAGACATACACAGTGTACTGCCTGCATTTCAGCACATACGTCACATATGCAGTGCCAGGCAGAATATCAAGTTTGAAAATAGATCCTCATCAAGCTCATTGTTCTACACAAGTGAAAGACATAAAAGGAGGTAGAGATCAAGCCATAAAACTTATCCCCAAAACAAGGCAAATTGATAAAACTAGATCTACGTAAAAAAAATAAGCTATTACTTTTTAGCAACCCTGAAAAGACTTTGATAGTAATCAGTAAAAGCAAGATGAAGAGCACCTAGGTGAATATATTATCTTTACTCAAGGTTTTAGTATGTTTTTTGGCAACACATGTCAAGCAATGATTAGTCTACATGTAAGGTTTTGACGTCAGCAACTTGCTGACAGGGTGTGGTAGAGATTTTTTAATAGAAACTGGTTTGCATGGAAACCAGCTATATCAGTAACACGATTGCAGAAGAACGTGCTGTATTCATCTTTATACCTAATGACATAAAATTGTGTAAGTATTTACTCTGTTTATTTTTTTCCATAATTCTATTAAAGCATAGGTGGACTTCCTTGCCTAAAATCTCACCAATCCGCATTATTCATGTCATTTAAAATCGTCATCAAATACTGAGAAATGTCATTTTTAGCCTTTTCTTTTCAGGCCTTCTGAAGTACAGCCACTGTGCAACATATTTGTTACAGCCCCGTGCAGACAAGTTTCTGTGCTTTAGGAAGAGTCATTGCTGCTTCATGCCACCTGTTCCAGTTTTTTAGCCTCAGTGTTCACGCAGCTGTACCCAAAATTGCCCCCCTAATGGATATATTAAGTAGGGAGATTAAAACCTACTACTGTGTCCTAGATTTGGCAAATGCATTCTTCAGTATTCCAGTTGCTGAAGAATCACAAGACCAGTTTGCATTTATGTGGGGAGGCAGGCAGTGGACCTTTCAGGTCCTGCCACAGGGATACGTGCATGCAGCAACGTATTGCCATAACACAATGGCACGTGACCTGACAAACTGGGAAAAAAATAATAATGTTAGCTTCTATCACTTTATTGATGATCTCCTGTTGATGTCTGACTCACTGGGGGCAGTAGGACAGGTGGAGATTCATTAATTACCTATCTGCAAGAAACAGGATGGGCTTTAGATCTGGGCCTGTCTGTAAAATTCCTGGGGGCAGTTTGGTCAGGAAAGATAAGGTTCAGGCATTCCCAGTTCCTACAACACAAAAGCAGCTGCAGGAGTCCTTAGGTGTATTGGGGTACCTAATGATTAGCATGACTGTCAGAGTAACGCTGTGTATGGTAACTGCTGAGTCGTGGCCTGGAACCACTGATTGAGCACCTGGGAAAGGACCCAGTCAGCGCTGGGAGCTCAGGTGAAGGCAACTCACCTGAGTGACCAGAAGGGATGGAGCCTGGCTGCAACTCTCCTAGACCCCATTGAAGGGCTGACTGCCGCTGGGAAAATATCTTTTTCTGGAGACCTGTTCCTTGTGGAGTCTTTCCTGAGTGCTTAGATCTTTGGAGGTGGATGAGTGCCTTTACTTTTCCTTTATAGCACTGCTCTATCTGTGCTATTCCCTTTGCTGTTATGGTCTTCTATCATCTTTCTACCACATTTATCTTTCTGATTGTAACACACTGATACATCTCTGGAATTGTGTTAGAATTCTCTAGAGAAGAAGTACTTTGTATAGTGTTTGTTTAGCCTACTGTTGTTTGTTGTCCGCAGGTAATGCACACGTGGGTAGGAGTTATGTAAGAAGAACTTGTGCTGAAGGATTTAGCCACGTGTAAGAGAACATGTAGCAAACGTGTTTCTCAGCAGTGCCCATGGCCTGCTACTGCTTAGTCACCTACTGGGCTGCGGTGCAGCCATGCAACTTGCAGGCAGAGTTCACTGGCTATTGAGCCTGGCCACCTTTCTGTCCACAAATGAGAAAGTTCCATATAAAAATTCCACTATGTGCTGAGCTACTCAACCTTGTTGTCTTGCTTTCTTACTGTACACCTGTCTGTCTCTCTTTGCTACAATTATTTTTGCCTTGCCTGATCACTGTCCTTCTGTACTACCAAGTCAGTGGAACTTCACCAGGCCTTGGTGCAAGCAAGTTGTTGATCTAGCAATGGGAGCAGCGTGGGGCAGTTCTCTATGATGTGGCTGCAGTAATGAGCCTCAAAGTCACATGGCAACCCTGTCCCATTTAGCCCTGGTAAGTTGTGAGGATAAGGGAAGAATATAAAAGATAGAGGCTTGGTGGCTTGGAAAGACAGAACAAAACGCTGACGGGGCCTGGTGTAGTGGAAATGCTAAGTCACAGCCTGAACCAGTGGTTGAGCACCTGGTGAGAAGGCAGGACCAACCCAGGGGAGCTCAGTGCCTGCAGTGCACCTGAGTGACTGGAAGGCATAGAGACAGGATCTACCCCTTCCCAGACCTCACTTAAGGTTGGCAGTGAAGGTAAGGGTATCTTGATGGAGATCCCTGCCTACTTGAGTCCTTCCAAAAGTAAGTAGCTTTTCTTCCTTTGTTTTTGTGTCTATGCCTGCTGTGTTTGGGCTTGTTCTCATTTGTTGTAGTCTAGGATTGTGCCACCCCACTACTACTGCTGTACTTTCCATCATGTTATTGTATTACACCTGATTACAGCCTCTCTGCTGTCCCACGTGCAGTACTTGATGCCAGCAAGGATGTCATACGCCATTTTGGGTGCCCTTGCACATAAATAGCCAATGGCAAACTGGCAAAAGGCCCTCAGCAACTTGGTCTAATTTTGAAGTTGGCCCTGATTTGAGCAAGAGTTCAAACAAGATGCTCTCTAATGTCTCCTTTAAACCAGAACTACATCGTGTCTAGAGTCGTTATTTGTTCTGTCTGAGTCACAGCAGTGACTCAGTGAAAGACAAACCAGTCACGTCTGCTAACACTGTATAGGATACACAGTAAAGAATGTGGGATGGTGGAAATCATGTCATGAGGCACAGTATGCAAGCTAGGTTTCAGGAAAGGGCTTTTCTGTTCCAGAAAATAGGATTTGAACTGGCAGTTGACCTACAGATGTGTTTGGGTTTGTTTTTTTTTTTAGAGATTTTAAACTCTATTCCTTCTCAATATGTTATACAGGTAGTTTACAATGCCTTTATGGTATAAAAGAAGAAAGCAGTCCTTTCTATGGTGGGATGTTTGCTCCTTCCCAGTTCATGTACAAATACGTAGGAATTGTGATGAAAACTTCATTTTCAAGGCTTTATTTAATTTTTAGAAAACATTTTACAGTAATCTGTTCCCTCTTCAGATCTGGTATGTAACTTCTTTGTAAAAGAGTGAAGCAGCTATATTTTTATACATATTATTGCCTTAAGCCTTATTTTAGACCAGTACTTTTGTCTTGTGAACAAATTAAATAAATGAACAAAATACTCTTTATGGCTTATATTCATGGTTCAGATTTTGATTTTCAGTTGTCATCGCGTTTCACTTTGGGTCATGATATGGTAGGACCTGCATATTTGGTTCTCACATGCAAAGACAAGCCTGAATACAATACAAAAAAAAAAGGTACAAATATGAAAAGAAAATTCCTGATTCTATACATTTTGACAATGATTAATCTGGGAAGTATGGCTTGATTTTCATGCTCATCTTCTTCATTGAATACCATGACCCCTTCCAGTTCATCCATACAACACCATCATCTGTACCGTGTTTTGTCATATCCCAGCTGTAAGTCCCTCCCCAGTAGTATCTGCCATTAGGGTTGGCTGCATGGCAGCGATTGTACCACCATCCACCACCATCTTCTTTGGAGCACTGTTTTCTTGGATCTGTAGTTAACCTGATGAAGTAAAAACGGGAGTTGAGTCACAGATGAATGTAAGCAAATAGATCTGAGTACATATGTGTCCCTGTACTGAAATTTTCAAACTACAACCAATACTTAAAATCTCATCTGAACTTCCTGTGAAAGACTGCACTACTGCAGGTATGTGCTATGACAGTTAAAATTTCAGTTGTGTCTCTTTGGGAATTACATTATGATTTACCAATTGATAACTACAATTCCTTCATCATCTGTCTCTCCCCTCAGGACTCATCTCTGTATTCCTACTTAACTAAAACAGTACTCTTAAACACTACCACCATCAACCTCAGATAATGAGAATATTGTATTCAGAATGACATTTTGTCTATGGTAACATCATTCCTGAAATCAGTACAATTCAGTATTCCTGTTCCTTACTTGGCTATAGAGCAGCACTAACACAGTGTAGATTTAACTCTTCTTTCCCTATGCCAATTCTGCCTTGAGCTGCACCAGAACAGGATGAATACTTGGCTAGCAAATTACAGTAAGAAAACACATTTTAAGATACTATAAAGTGC